AGCCCCCGCTTTGAGCTACAACGGAGCCGGCACGAGGTTACGGCCCAGTCGCGTAAGAACGGGGCGCAGCGGCCCGGGCTTCTCCTGCCCTTGCGAGGGCGTCGGGGTCACGCCGAGACCCGCGAGCGCCGGCCGGGAGCAGCAGTAGGGACACGGGATCTCGCTTTAACCCTGTGCACAACGGCCCAAAGGCAGCAGTTTAACAGGAGTCACCACCCCGGGCTGTGGCTGGGCAAATAAAAGGTCAAATAAACGGTTCTGCATTCTTAAGCCCTAAAACCCCTCATCCTAATTAAGTATCCACACACGTGGTGGGAGCCAGAGCATTCCAGGTGTGGCTTAACTGGGAAAAAGTGCTCAGGGGTCAGCAGCAGCACTTCTTTTCTAACCTGTATGATGTTTTTTCTTTGCACCAGGATTGTGATTTCAGTTACCTGGTCCAATCCTGCCGTATTCTGCTGATTCTCTTTTCCCTTTTTGTCCATTTTGTACACTTTTTCTCTGCGGAACTGGGGACTTTTTGATACACATGTAGCATACTGGATCCCTGTTCTTATCTGAAGCTTGTAATTCTTAAAGGAATGCAAGTCAAGCCCATAGCCTGTCGTTCCCTTTCTCCCGGTTTGTCACTGCCAGCTGCGGCGGGACACGCGCCCCTGGAGACGGGACTGACAGCTCAGTGGCCAGTCTGACAGCCACCTTCTCTTTCCTGCTTTTAGCGGTTACTTGGAAGAAATGAAGCCACATTCTGCAAGGCGATTTGTGCAGTAAATAATTAAAAAGGAATTTTGAAGGTAGTTGACTACTACAGTGTAGTTTTCATCATTCGGTAATTGATTTTATTGAGACAGTATGGACTTGCCCCATCCCTGGGAGTGTCCAAGGCCAGGCTGGATGAGGCTTGGAGCAACCTGGGCTATGGAAGGTGTCCCTGCCCATGGCAGAGGGTGGGACCGAGTGGGCTTTGAGGTCCCTTCCAACCCAAACTGTTCCATGATTCCATGACTAAATACACTCCGATGCAGGGCTGTCCAGGAACAGAGAATGCGTGTGAAAGCTGCAGGGTGGAAAAGCTCTGCCTAGTGTAAAGCTTCACCCCTGACAGGGGCTCTTTACGTGATGACTGACCACCAAGACTGTCCGGAGCAGCAGTGCGGTTTGTAGCATAGGAACAGTTGTAACTGTCAGCTGGACTAACGGCCAGTGGGTAGTTCTACTGTCAGTGGTTTTAAAAGGATGCTGGGAAATTGTAGGGGACAGGTAGAGCTGAGAAACAACTTTGTGGGCTGAAAAAGCTATTTGGCAGGGGGAACAGAACCTGCTTACTCAAGACTTAGTAGGCAGTAACATCTCTGCAGCATCCGTAGGAGGTTGACAGAATGCTGCGGGCTGGGTGAAGGGATGAATGCCTGTTAAGGCTCAGGCAGCGCACGGTGAGCTTTGATATTCTTGAACCGGAAACAATCCTAATTCTTGAGAGGATTTCTTGGATGAAGCGTGGCTGAGGTATACTGCCTTGTAAGTCACGTTGCTGTATTAGTTGTCATTCTGAAAGGATTTGAAACTGTGCAGGTCTGTTCTCGCGCCGTTTCCAGCTGCGTGTCCCCTTGTGCTCTCCGTGTGTAAAGATAAGGCCAAGAGAGGTCTGTGTGTCTGACCTGACCCCTGCAGACTGCTGGGGAAGTGAACCTCCTTTGCACTCAGCCTCTCAGGCTTTGTGCCTGTGTGGGTACGACAGCGTGCAAGGCTTCCATAAAGCTCTTCCTGCGGCACGCAAGAAATAAGCCACAGCTTGCTCTGGGCCCTGCGCTTGCAGTCAGCAGCCTGGCTCGTTCTGCCCCAGCTTCTGCGCAGAGCTTGGAACGTGGCTCCGAGGTGAGGCTGTCCTGGCGCAGCGTGCAGCTGACTGGGGCTCCCCTCGGCTCCCCATTCAGGCCTTTGTTGCACCAACTTCCTCACCGAACCTCTGAGGAGTCAGCGGGAGCACTGTGCGTTGGGCTGCAGGGAAGTCGGGGAGGGCACAGAGTCATGTGGTCGTTGGGTCTGACACGCAGGTCTCTGCTTCGACTGGGGCGGCTCAAACCTTTTGGCAGGTTTGTGACTACAGGTGCCAGAGGTTCTGCAGCACAGAATAGCCGCTTGCATGGGGACACTGCTGTCTCTCCTTAGGAGTAACTCCAGATAAAAACAACAATGCAGAGACATTCAGGTGGGTGAGACTCAGCTGGGTTGTAGCGTAGAATAAAAATCTCGCTGTCGAATAACTGGTGATGCTCAAGGGCAGCCTTGGGGGAGCTCGAGATCCATGGGGAGGCGAGGAGGGTACACAGGCTCCCTACCCTGGGTTTCAGGAGAGCAAGCTTTGGCCTCTTCAGGGAACTGAATTCTTTGGGAACACTGAACGTGATACAGCTGGAATGAGATGCTGAGGATGGGAGAGATCCAAGGGTTGTTTGGGAAGGGGAAAAACAATGGCATACAAACAGTCTCTTTTTCTCATCTCTAGCTGTGTAAGAAAATAATCTATAAAATCTGCAAAAATCATTCTCTGGGAATGAGTTTCCCTCCAGAAACAGTCTGTGTTAGGGGATTCAGCCACGATTCCAGCACACGAGCTGCTGTTGACGCTGACTGCTGTCATGTACAGACCGATCTGTGCCCTTGCTTAGACCGTACCCTCACCCCACCAGGCACTCACAGCTGAGGTCTGTTTTGGCCTTGCGCTGCAGGATTTACTGTTGTAAAGGAGAATTCCCTCGGCACTGCTGCTTGTCCCCTGGCACAGATGATGTCCTGCCAGATGGGGAATCTGTCGGCATTTGTTTGGGTAACGAAGTCTTTGCAAATATTTGCCTCATTGCCATAGTTATTTGGCACAAACAGCAAAAGATGTAGAAGCTTCGCTCATGCGTAAAGATTCATCTGCTTCCACTGCACTGTACGGGGTGAACAGTCGTGAGGGGAAAAGCAACGCTCTGGAGGTTCGTGTGGCCTTGAACGATGTGCAGATCAGGAGTGAATGCGCTCAGAGGTTCCTGTAGGTATAAACCAACTCATCTGGGTGTTCATTTTAACTTTCTTGGAGCAGCTGAGCGTCCAGCCGAAACTCGTGGGTGCATCGCCATCTCCCAGAAACCCTTCCCAGAAGATACTGCGCAGATGCTCGTCCGAAGCTCAGCTTAGCACCGGGACTCCTTGTGTTTGCGGCCGATTCCTGGAGCCGTGGGAGCTTTTCTTAAAGATTTCTGTTCCCACCAGCCGTTTGATGCGTGGCGAAAGCTGCCCTTAAGAGCAGTAAAGGCGTTCAGGCCTGCTGAGCCTGCCGCCTCTCCCAGAGCGTGCAGGAACTCGGCTGTCCATCACCGAAAGGATAACTCTCACTTTCTGCTAATGGTGACCAGTGGGCTCAGATTTTACTAGGGCACCCCATGGGGTGACAAAACATGTTCTGGGGTTTTTTTTCTTCCCAGGGAGGTGAGACAAATGTTGGGACTGACATGTGGAAATCATGAGACAGATGAAAGTGGGGGTTGGGACAAAAGGAAGCGAGTGGTCTCTTCCTGTGTTTAACGGTTCTCTCCTCTGCAGAGCACGCTGGCTGGGGTTTGCGCGTGGTCAGTTGTCACGAAGCAGATGGATCGTTTGCCACTGTACGACCGGAGCTTTTATCAGAGCTTATGGCAGTGTTACTGGATCCAGTTCACTGTCATCGTCCAGCCTGAGAGGGACGGTCCGTACGCATCCTCCTGCTGGGGTGTTGGCTAACAGGGTAGGGTGCTCTTCTAGCCACCTAGAGGTGGGAGCAGGTGGGTTTGCTGCCGTTACTGGACAGAACTGAGGGGTTGGAAAGGGCTCAGCTGACCTAAAAGTGCTGAATGCTTTGTTAAGCACTTAAGCATATTAAACATGACTCAGTCTGGATTCTTTTCCATTTTCCATGTTGATTTCACCTAAGACACTAAAATTTCGACACTGGTGATGAAAGCACTGCGCGGCTGAATTCTGTCGCTACGTGTCCGGCCTTGGGATAGCTTCGCCAGCTCTTTCCATGACTTCAGACGTGTTAAATAGCACAGACACGGAGGACTACGCCTCACCAGAGCCTTCAGATGAGGCCTTTGAAGATGCAGGAGCATTTACTCACAGTTCCATTCTCGCTTCCTGCGGCCAGAGAAGGAGCCAGTGCGGCTCTGCAGGGGTTAAAGCTGCCCCCTGAAACGTCTGGACTGTGAGAGCGGTGACTGCTGCTCGCCGAGCCCCGCAGGAGGGCGAGCTGGTGGTACAGGCTTTTTACAGCCCCTATACATCATCTCCAGACCACGCTGACCTTATCCGTGACCGTCCCGGGCTGCCTGTTATCTCCAGCATTGTCCTACTTTTTTCTTCAGAATTTGATGGTCCGAGTTGTCATTTTAGGCCATAGTGGGGAGCCACAGTGTACGTTTCACGTGCGCTCTGCTTGGCCAAGGAGGGAGCGTTCTCTCATGCTCAAGGAGTGACCGTAGCTCTTAATATTTCTGTAAATTTATAATTTTTAGCTCATTCTCTTGTAGGCACAGTCTGCGTAGAATCCATGAGCAGAAAAGTCACAGGTTTTGGTTCTCAGTACTTTTCGGGGGATTCATAAATACTGCGATGATTCACCAAGTTCTGATCACTTTCCTGGCCCTTTTTATCACACAGGTTCCTAGCCAAGAACATCATGAGGCTGCAGCGCCTGGGGATAACCCACGTTCTGAATGCAGCAGAGGGGAAGTCATTCATGCATGTGAACACCAACGCGGAGTTCTACGAAGGCACAGGCATCAGATACCATGGCATTAAAGCTAACGATACACAGGAATTTAACCTCGGTCGCTATTTTGAGGAGGCAGCTGATTTCATTGAGAAAGCACGTGCCCAGAAGGATGGTAAGGCAAACTGAACTATCTTTCTACCATGTTTTCTGTGCACTGCCTATGCTTGTTAGCAACTTCTTTTACTGTTTGAAAAGGTTCCTTGCTCAGATTATCAGCTGCACGGCCAAGGCAGGAGTTCAAACCCAGGCTCTGGATCAGAGACACCAGAACACACAATAAGACCCCTTAATCTACCGTCTGCACCTGTGGGTCTCCAGTGTAGGGCAGATGGAAGTCTGTCACGGCAGGGGGGACTTTGACAAGTGAAGCAGCTGCGGCATCCTAGAACAGTGCCTTTCTGGGCACGTGCGTTGCCGAAGGGTATGTGCGCGGCCTGCTGCGGTGGTCCCAAACGGGCAGCAAGGGTGAAGACTCTGGCCTTCCGATGGCTATTACATTAAGTCTTTATTTCATGCCAAGATTTCCTCAGCGTTCCTGAGGATTGCGGGAAGGCTGGAGATGATATCTGCAGTGCTGCTGATGGATTGCCACGTTCCTCTTCAGCGTCTTTCCCCAGAGCAGAGATCCTCGGGCACAGTGCAGTGGGCCAGACGGTGCGTGCTGTGTTTCACACCACCGCCTACTTCTGCACTTGCTGCTCTTCTTTCTTGCTTCATGACTGAACATGAAAACAGAGGAGGGAGAATTCCCACAGCTCTAGACGTCCTTGCTCTGAAATGGGCAAAAGGGGCACTGGGCTGCGATGGGCTCGTGACAGATGGAAAGAAATGTTACCTCTGGTTGGGTGGGGTACGAAAACCTCTAAAAATGGAAACGCGACTCTTGCCCTTGGCATTGTGGCTCTCCGAGAGGAGTTGCAGGAGGAGAGAAGCCTTGCCCAGTGCCAGCTGTGCCACGGCTGCCCCTGCTCCTGTGGATCCCCAGAGCTGCCGTCGGGCTGAGGCCACAGCAGCAGGTCGGCGGCCGCCTGCCATCCCTCCGTTGTGCTCCCGCTGCCGTCAGCAAGGAGCGGCTCTGCGGCTGGCTGATGCTGGAGCCGGTTTAAGATGAGGGTTAGGAGTTTGGTCGTTTAGTTTGACACTCAAGTGTGGGGTGAGACAGCGAAGAGGGACGCAGAAGCGTTTTCCTTCCGCTCCGTTTTAGGACTGTAGTGCAAGGCTCGGGAGGGCAGGTCTGGCAGCCCGACGGTCCAGCAGGCAGCCCTTGGGACACCCTCTTCCACAGAGGAAGGCTGGAAACGCTTTTGCTTCTGATCATTTGCAGGGGGGAGGTCAGATCTCTAAATCTTGCTGATTTATGGCTACGGGCTCTCAGTTAGTATTGAGAAAGAATTGTTTTATCCGTTAAGTTGCTACTGATTAGAGATTTGCCTTGGGTTGAGAAGCCTTTGCAGCTGAAGGCAGATGTGATAACAGGCTTTCTCTTGCTGTGGTTCAAAGCAAATTGTGGTTCTGAGGGAAGGGAGTGTGTATGGTTCGTTTGTTCTCGAGAAAAAACTCTGCTCCAGAGAGTAGTCTGGGACCATATCTCCCACTGCATTGGGAAGGGGAATATTTTTGTGTCTGGAAAAGCAGGTCAAAGAGGAGGCAGCTGAGGGGCGATGAAATCTAGTCACATTTCTCAAGGGGAGCCGTGGCCTGTGTTATTATTGTTGGATAGATCCAACAATCTACAGGATTTGTGTGTGTCGTGGG